TCTCCCTTCAGAATCCCATGAGTCCGGAGGTGCGCCACTGAGACCGCCAGCAGTTCCACTGGAATGCGGGGTCCCGCCAGCACACTATATGATTTGCAGAGATTTATGTATTCTCTGTGAGAGTTGCAGTTTGCTTGCATGTATGTCAGTAACTGTGTGATGATTGCTATGTTTGGAGTACTAACTGTGTGTTTGCCCTGTGTTTTCTGTGTCCCGGGAGGGTAGATTAAAAATAGGGAACCGCAGAGACAAGACTGAAATTGGGTGCTGGACAGACTTCTCTAGAAAGGCAAGGACGGACAGGGATACAAGTAGAACTTGGATAGTACTGTAGGGATTTTTCAGCAACTCGGGTAGGCCCAGCACAGGTCCGGTAGGCTTAGAAGGACCCGGTAATTTCCAAAAGGTCATGAGCAGCCAGGGCCCCTACCTAGATATCAGCTAGATGAGATTTAAGCGCTGAAGTAGACTTGCAGGCTGCAATGATATTCCCACAAAAAGGAAGGCCCCTCCTGTAGGCCTAGTACACCGGAGAGGCATTAGGTACCAAAGGAGGCTGAAGGACAAGTTGCAATAGTATATCGCTTGGGCACAATGAGTGAAGCGGTATCTTACCCAGCAGTCATGCTGCTGCTCTGCCCAGAGAGCGAGGAGGAGAAGAAGCGAGAAGGCCTAGGCTATGGAGGTAGAGGATGACGAACCTCATGCCAGGCTATGGAGAAGGGCAAGAAAAGGGTGTAGAATGTAAAAAGGGCACAGAGAGAGAGAGAGAGGAACCCACATGAGGGACTCAAATTTGGCTATGGTTGACCTTCATCTTCACTCCTCAGTCCGCGCCTCATCTAGAATACCCCCGTGTGGGTAACAGTGAGAGATGGTTAACTAAGAGCCAAAAATCTGCCGTCTTCGTGGGTCTTGGACTTCATCTGAGAGTGTGGCTTTGGCAGAACGAGATAAGAGAGGCATAGTAGGGATTGCATTGTCCCTTGAGCATCTGTGATGAGCATGGATGGTCCACCATAGTGGTAGTTGCAACCGAGAAGAGAGAAGTGAGGGAGAAGAAGATGATTCCTGTTCATCCATTTATTTGTTGTTATATTTTTCACCGAAACTGCCATATTTCCCTGAATTTTTACATTTTTCTTGTTTTTTTTTTGTCTGATATGTATGTGCTTTAGGGTATATCTCATAGTTTCGGCGCACCAGTCCACAGTGCGGTGCAGGGCGGTGCGCACTGCGCTGTGCACTGGAATGACAGCGCGCACTGTGCGCAGTGCGCAGTGCGGTCCGCTGTGCGCAGTGCGCGCGCTGAGGGAGGTATGCCCCGTGCACAATATAAAAAAAAAGAAAAAAAAAAAGGAAAAGGCCCAGAGAAAGAGAGAGAGAGAGAGAGAGAGAGAGAAAGAGAGAGAGAGAGAAAAGAGATAACAAAGGGTCCCCTTCACGTCAATTCGAGGGCCCTTGCAGGTACCTCGAATGACTCCTACGTTACATGTGGAGTCATCGAGGACCACTGCTTCAATTAGGAGGATGGTCTCGTTATCTGTGGAAGAGGTAGGGCAGACCACCAATATATGCTTTGGATTGGAGTTCAAGGCTGTAGCTCGGCAGTTATGGGTCACCAATTCAGCTAGAGTCTTTTTTAATGTCTCCAGGTGATTCTCACGGCCTCCCTCCACCACTCACCAAATGTATACAATATTAGTAGAATGAATCTTCTGCTAAAACATGGAACCATACACACCGCCATATGCTTTGTCTTTTGTGCATGTGGTGAGTAGTGGAGCAGGCCCCACTGTAAGTATTCGTAAGAAAACAAAACAAAAAAAACGAGAGCTCCGTCCACCACTCACCAAATGCATACAATAATAATATTAGTAGAATGAATCTTCTGCTAAAACATGGGACCATACACCGCCATATGCTATTTCTTTTGTGCATGTGGTGAGTCGTGGAGCAGGCCCCACTGTACGTATTCATAAGAAAACAAAAACAAAAAAACGAGAGCGCTACGGGCATCTTCATCCTAACCCATAACTGCCGACATGCAGACCTGAACGCCAACCTTCAGAATATATTGGTGGTCGGCCAGACACGAAAATGTAACCTGTGACTTCTGCAATGTTCGTTGGGCAGGTCGATACTAGGCGACTACTCCCTTTTTGCGAACCTACCCCACCACTGTGTGGGATTTGCAGAAGGGAGGCGGAAGGCCAGTTTCCATACCCCGCCTAAGAGAAAAGTTGGAATGAGCCCTATTTTATGCTTTGCCTTTTTTTAATTTCTGGGGGTAGGGCCTGCGGAAATTGAAATTCGGCAGCCCTTGACCGAAAAAAAGTTCGGGCCGGGGGCGTGGCCGGTTTGCAAGCTCGCACGGTGCGTTTAACATTTTTGCCAAGTTGGGGACCCTAAGGAATGACAAAAACCCTACTTTTTTTTTTTTTTTTGGACCTAATTTTTACAGTGCGGTGCGTTTGGGTGCGCTGTGCGGTGCGCAAATCGTGCACAAATCCGCGCACCGAGGTGCGCCGCAACTATGGTATATCTGTATCAGTGCTGGTCCCCGGTTGGACCGGGGACCCTTCCCCCAACCGGGAGCCTGCTGGTCGGACCGGCCCGGCAGGCCCCCGGTCGAGTCCAGCGCATCATGCTGGGGGGGGGGTATTGGGGATCGATGGGCGTTACTGCATTTGCCGAGCCATTGGGAGGCTAGTGTCCTCTTCGAAGAAACAAACAGGGTCTTTTGAACCCCACTTCCACGTGTTTTCGTCAAAACACGGGGTCCTGTTTCTATATGGATTTTACTAGTTTCAGATTGATACTGCAGTCTAAGAGACCACAAACCCGCTGCAGTAGGCAGGTGTTCATCCTCGACCGAAGTGGAGAGGAGGATAGGAACAGCATGATTTAGCCCAGGCTTTGCTGTGTTTATATGCTTCTCAGACATCCCTATTCTGTGGGGAAAAAGTTATGGGTTGAGGTTTCTGCTCGTAAAATCAGAGTAGCAGTCCGAGGTGCAAGCCCAAGAAGGAACCTTGCTCCACTACATGTATCTGGACAGCGCACGAGGCGAAATACTTTCGGACTGATGACCCACTCTATAAAGGAAAAACAAAAGGAAAGCGGACTGATGACTCACCATATAAGGGAAAAACAAAAGGAAGCTCTCTGCCTGCACGAGCTGAAACCTCAACCCATAACTTTTCCAGTTTAGAGCTCGGTATCCCGAAGAGCTATAACTTTGGGCAAGCACCTCCCAACAGCATATGTCGTTCGGCCTCTAGAATACCAATGCCTGATGGCATAACCAATAAAGAGGTATACGGTCGAATTGAAATTTTTTTTTTTGGGCCACGGAGGGGTCAAGTAAAGCAGTTTACTTGACCCCTCCACATAAAGGCCAACCTCCGACTCCCTGGCCCCACCCGATAGAATGCCCTCCCCCCTCTTGGGAACCCCCCCCAAAAAAATTCTCACCTTCCAAATTTTATTGCGGATTTGGACAGATCTCGAAGAGCGCAGTCCGAATCCGCCGACAAAAAAAAAAAAAAAAACGAGAAATCCTGGGCATTTTTTTTGAAAACCGGTTTTCCGGTTCAGCCCCCCTGGGCTGGTCCGGATCCGGGTGGACTGGGGGAGGTGAACCGGCCGGTTGCCGGCCCAGCCTTGATCTCTATTCAGTTTCCCCGTATTTGGACCAGTAACAAAAAGGATGGCAAAAACATGGGACTCGAAGAAAGATTCGGCGAACTCGGAAAGCTACTCCGAATAGGGTTTTATAGTGCTCTAAGCTCTTGAGTTTTTTTTGTTTTTTTTTTGGCCTGTAATTTTTTTTTATGTTTGCATTATGACTTTGCATAGTTTGTTCGCAAAAGTTTTGACAACATTGCTTGTAGTGATGCGGCAAAAAAAACGATCTTTGGGGCTTTCATTAACCGCTAGTGGTGATTTAATTGATTATGAGAAGAAGAATAATGGAAAAAAAGATGAGGGGAAGGAGAAGTGAGGGAGAAGACATTGGTTCAACTAGTGTAATTCTTCTTCTACTACCATTCTCTTCATTCTGTTCCGCTTTTTCTCTCTCTCCACTTCTTCTTCTGAGTTTCAGCAAGTCTTACATTTTCTCGCAATTGTTTTGCATTATGAATGAAGGAGGATCATAACAGACCCGAAGAAGCTTAATAATGTGTCCAGAAACTTGCCAACACTTAAAACCACCACTACCTCCAGAAACCTGCCCCCGCCGACAAGATCTGGTACCATACCAGTACTTGGGAAGTGCAAGAGGGGTAAATCCGAGCCTATTGTATTCACCACTTTGGGGAAAACGAGACCCTGGCAGGTAGTGGCGGTTTAAGTCTTTAAGACTGCTGCACCTGGAAATTGTCCATCACGTTACAAAAACAGGTCTTCATCTGTTCCCATACTGCCGTACTTAGTCATAGCAAAAGAATTTTAAAGAACGCCTCCACGCCCAGCATGACTTTGCTAAGCATTCAGCATGTTAGGAAGCGAAAACAGTATGGCACCCAGGAAGGAGTGCACCAGCATCTTCGCTCCTTGCTTGCAGACAACAGCGAAAAGAGTATTTTCTCCAGAAACATTTAAAAACACTGCTTTCCCATTTGCAGGAGCACTGCATATGGTTGAGTGCTGGCAATCAATGGTAACATTACCATGGCCGGCAATTTCTTTTCACCACCTTCACCAAACAAAAGGGGGCAATGGAATGTGCATGGCAAAGCAGCAATAGCAAATCCAGAACTACCATCTTCTCCCGAATAGAACACCTGGCAATTTTCGCCATATCTGGACTGAAAGTTGCACCAAATACAGCTATGATGACCGGTCATTCTATTCGGGTGAAGACAGTAGGTGGACAAGATCCTGAAGGATATAAACAGGCAAGCCAGGAGCTTCACAACACCCACATGATCCCCGTACCCACCTCCCGATTCTTACATTCTGTCTCGCTGTCAATGAGGAAAACATAAACATACCTTCAATGCCATGGCAACAAGCTGCGGGTTTCTTATCGACAGCCAGGAAGGGCCCATTATCCTCCTCTTCAGGAACAGAAGCTCCAGTGCACTGCAAATATGAATTCCAATGGCCAAAGGTTGAGGAAAGGTCGGACTTAGATTAGCCACTTTTCAACTCCCCTGGGCCTACCATCTTCCTCCGAACAAAACACACCCTCATCACGACTGTATCGGACCAGAAAGATAGCTTGCATAGACAAATGATCAGGGTGCTTTAATGATAACAGTGCTTTGTGTTTCGCAAACAAGACAGCAGTTCGCATTATGTGTGGCCTAAATTAATCGGGCAGGACACAAGCCTGGACAAAATGAGGAATAGGCTAACACAGAGGGGACAAGATAAGGGTGCAAGATACTGTAGAAGCATGACAGGTCAAAGCACGAGCAGATAGAAACAAGAAAGAGAGCCAGCCATAGAATGGTGACCATCTAAATATAGCCAGCCATCAGTTTGTGGCAATGATTAGGCTAACTCTGGCCAGTTTTAGCCCATAGGCTAACCCCCCACAAACATTCAAATAGGCATTCTAGGGTTCTGTCAACCATGGGCCAAGCCTGGGGAACATGGCAGCCATGTGTGCTGCAGCAAGAGTGTTTTTTTTTGTTTTTTTTTTGGGAAAACAGGTCCTTGTGGTTCCTGGATCCTTATCCATTCTGAGGAGCGACAGTCCAAGTTGCATTCCACCGGCAAGTGAGAAATCACATAGAACACGTAACCCACATAATAGCTCCTTCATTTTTGCCCAAAGGATCCCTGACCAGCATTGATTGCTCCATTGCTGGAGGATTGAATGTCAGATGCCCTCTGTCACGTTCCTCTCAATCCCAACATTTGATGTGGTTGCAAAACTAGCTTGGTTAACTAGAACCACGGAAGTGGCAGGATCTGCTTGAAGAGCGGAAATTGCTGACGCAGTCTTATGGAATCCAGATGCTTTGTGACTGTAAGGGTCACTCTGCTCTTCGTTCTTGCTCACCTTATGGCGGCTCCTCCACAGTCCATTGGCCTGGCGACTCATTTGGTGCCGAGGTTCCTTCCACCTCAGCATGTCATTGTCAATGGTTGCTATTTTCACCCGCACCAACCAGTCCTTTCTTTGATATGAATTTCTCCTGTGTCCGTTTCGCTGACAGCTTAATTGCTCCCCATCTGCACCAGATTTTGGTTTCCACCACGTCAACCAGTAAAGCCCATGCATCTTCCCTCGCTACAGCCTCCTTGTCGAGCGCTGTGTGCACCTGTGTTTCCATATAGTCCATAATGGCAACTCCCTGCAACTGGAACCAGGTTTTCTTGCTGCCCTTGAGGGAGTTGGGCAGATTAACAGAAGTAGGATAGACATTGAGGATATAGTTGGAGGAGGAGAGCAGAATAGAGAAGCCCAAAGCTCTTTCACCTTGTTCAAGATTCAAGAAGTTTCAAGGCATGTCAGTAGGCAGGGTACTATGTCGTCAGAAGTGCTATTTGTGCACATTACACAGATGCTGGAGCTGTTAGGATCGGAGTGTTTTCTCTTTTCACGGAGCCATTCATGTCCTGTTCAGTCAACCATTCCTTTTGATCCTCTTGCAAGGTAAATGAGCGATAGTGAAATGACAGAATTCCAGAATGCAAGATCACATTGAAAGCCAGAAAGTCCAATGCTGTCCAGAAAGCAGAAATGCACTGATATAATGTGATATTCCACCAACGGAGAACCAAAACACCGAATCCGAATGTCAATGAGAGCATACTCTCGCCACCACCAACATATGTATCCAGAGCCCTTCCGCCTACTTGGCGCTCAGCACCCAGACTACAATCACGCAGCTACTACCAGCCTACGAACTGACGATGCAACCTGTTGACGTCAGCAGCAACAACCGAGGTACATGAAGATGTCGACCCTGAGACCATCACCAAGACCAGGTATGTGCCCGCACATCATCATCCTCATCTCTCTCTCCCTCTCTCTCTCTCTCTCTCCCCATGTCTTCCTCCTCATACATGAAGACCACCACCACCTCCACTGGCTACCCAAGCCAAGCCCTGGCTACGTAGGGCTAGCTATGGCGCTGCCCTCAGCAACCTGCCTTCTTCCAGCACCCGCGTGCACTGCCTGGTAGCTAGCGCTAGCGCACAGTGCACAGCTAGTGGGTGCATGCTCAAGCAGTGCTGCCTCGTGCCCGATCCCCTCTCCCTGGCGAGCTCTTTCCTATATGGAAAGTAATTGCCCAGTTTGCAGCTGGGCCGGGACGCGCGTGTGCCCTCTAGCTTCCTGTCGGGCCAAAGTGTCTGTGCCCAGACCCGTTCATACAGCTGCCTGGGACCGAATTGGTTAGGAATGCCCAACCACCCAGGCACAAATGTGCGGTCTTCCCTGCTTCGACCATGTTGCTGGATTTCCAATTCTCACGGGCAAGGCGGATGTAACCAACTGGCACATGGCAACTGTCTGGCGCCCACCAAGATGCAAAAATTGACGAGTTCAGGGCTCATTGAGATTCGGGGGGCCCGCCTTCACTTAGGCCGGGCACGCGCCTGCTGCAGGGCCTTGTGCCAGTATGCCGAGGGATAAAATCCTCGCACTCTAACCAGATATGTTGTATTTGTCAGATTCCTTTTTCCACCCAAAAAAGCCACCTTTTGTCTCTGTTAGTTAAGAGTCCAGGGATGGCCGGGGTCATCTTTTAGCCACGGGTTGCAGGAAAAGGATTGTCTGCAGCATTGTTGCACCACCCGACGGTCAGCGGCCCTTGACTGGTCGGCTGCCGACCCGCCGACCGATCGGCTGGTCGGCACCTACAGGTCGGGGGTCGTCGGCACCCCGCAAAAAAATAGCTGTCTCTTATACACATCTAGAAGGCTGAAGGAAGGAAGCCATAGCTATGGTGGACTGGTTGTTGTTGTTGTTGTTGTTG